CTGCTAACAAAAATATATTGAAACATATATATGGAAAAGGTATGATGATATGGTGGATAGCAGTAGAGTAAAAGGTTTTCTCCAGAGGCCGTGAAGGCTAGCAGTTCATGTTCTTGTGTTAAGTGCTAAGAAAGTTAGTTATCTTGGAATAACGTTCATACTGTTAGTTTTTGCTATGAAAGCTGCAGAGTCATCATATGGTCTTGCTGTAGTTAGCAGCTGTCTTTCTGTACTACATTTCACTGAAAGAGAGCACGAGAGAATGAGAATACACACAAGCAATAAAGGCTAAAAGCTGATCCTGTGAGTCTGTTTTCACAGCTGGAGATAGGGTGCTTACTATTCTATATACAGCATCACTGAGCTTAGAAACTCAAGTGGGCAGTGTTAAATTGCACTGCAAAGCAATTCAAGCAAATGACTCTGCATGCCCCCATAAATTTTACCCATGCATGAGCCTATAAAGTCTGTATCAAAAACATCACAGAACTTCATCTCTCTCATATAACAGAAGAAATAGGCTTTATAAGATTTTACATCATATTTCATATCAAAGCTATATTACAGGATATTGTAATAAATTATGCCTGAACTTCATTTACAGTAATTTGATCATATTCCATATGACACTAAAAAGGCAATGTGAAAAGTTCTTAGTTTTGAAGACATTCAAGAGCACAAGTGTTCTTTGAAATGAAACAATTCTCACCACTTTGTTCTTTACTATTTTCTGTCCCCACAAAGTCCTGAACTAGGATAATTTGCTTTTAAATATATTTTAAAATATGAAAAGTTAGTGTCAAAAATGTAATCTCTGTACAGTAAAGATTTTGCTTTTATTTCTTTATCAGTTTGCTAAGAGTGACACTTAGGCTTTCCAATTTTTAAAAACGCTTTAGCTGACGTAACTTTGAGTTAAGCAACATGTGATACATTACAACTCCAAGAAAACATTGAGCTGAATGTAATCATAACTGGAAGCAAAACTATTTTAGGTTACAGTTAGGGATGCTTTACAGATTGTTCCAGAGAAACGTAGATCTCACCAGTATTAATGAGTGAAATTCTTCAGTGACCTAAAATTGGAAAAAGTTTTCTGTGTGGCCATTTATATTTTATTAGAACACAAAGGGAAGTATTTTCAGCATGTTACTTACCGTGGCACTGGCGGCTGTAGGCCCAGGGATATCAGGGCTCTCTTCATCAGTCATTTGATTTTGTTCTTCAGTACCACGGGTTACAAGAATTCTGAAGTGTTGCTGCCTTGTGTTTTGATCTGGTCTGATTTTAAACAAGCATCCCTGCCCTTGAGGAATCCTTTCTACTGAATTACTTCTAGATATTTCTGACCCATTTCTGCTATTTCCATGCAGTTCTGAATTCATTCTGTCTTCTACTGGGCTAATTCGTTCTGGTCGTGGCTGTACAGGGTAGGAAGTACTCCTTTCCAGCCGTATACGAGGATATCTGACCAATCTATTCCCTTTTGTTCCAGTAAAACCAAAATTATAGTCACTTCCTGTACCTGTACCACTTGCCTGCGATTGCTGCAACTGGAAAACAAATAACTTTTTCCCTGAATTTGCTGACACATCTGGCAGGTGCTGCAAGGACCAGCGCCTGGGTTCAGAGGCTGGGGAGTTATTCTGATCCTCAGAACCAAAGGGCAATAGCGTAACCTGACGCATGTCTGTGCATGAAGCGCGATGTTGAATTCTTACGCCACTTAGATTTAACCCTGAAGCTGCTTCGCTTGCTTCGTCTTCTAGGGCAGTCGTTGCCCCATCATTCCAGTTATTGGAAGGAACTGTACAAAATATTCTGTGGTTACAGGAAACAGCTCCATTAAGCTGTTCCTGAATCTCTTCAGGCATCCTGGGTGGAGAATTCTCTGGGGTTCCTTGTGGACTGCTTGGAGAAGAAGAAGGGCTGTCAACCTGGCATGTGTAATGCTCCCTGGAGTCTGTGAATTTACATGGCAGCATCTCCTCAGGAGACTCTGGGGCTCCGCACTCATCAGCACAGCCGTTCACAGCTTTGCGCTGAAGAGAGATCTGCATAGAGGAGCTCCTTGTTGGACGCACATCAATATTGTTCAGAAGCTGAGGAATAAACATGGATGTACTTCTTTTCAAGGAGCCCACTCCTTGCAAATCACCGCCACCATAATCCGCTCCATGTCGGGAGAAAGGATGGGGACTGTTTCTTCTTGGCAAAGTGTGGAATGCCATGAAAAAGTCATCTTCTCTCTCTCGGTCTAGGATCTCAGATTCAGGGGCTGTGTTGCTTCGTCCAGAGCCAAAATGAAACCGCAGCCGATGGGCCATGGTTTAACAGAGAGAAGAAAGAGAGGGAGAACAGCAACAATTCAGGCACTGCCAGAAGTTAGAAAACAAAGACAAACTCCAAGAAAAAGTGTCCCATCTGCCAAACTGTTAGTACTGCAGCACTGATAGCGACAGATAGCAGAAATAGCCCAAGTGGCAAGCAGCATTCCAGGCATGATTGGATAAGAGCAATCAGCACTCCTACACACAGTGACATAGGGTAGGATGGTTGAAATCACATGACTTGGTTCCCCCTCTCCACTGCAAGCTAGTTTTTTTTTTTTTTTTTAAATACCAGTAAGAGCCTGAAACAGCACCTTCACAGCTGCTCCTTTTCCATCAGAAAAGAGCTGCCCCCGCGGGAGAGCTCTCACAGCTGACTAAGGCAGCAAGCACACTCGGCACTGCTATAAATCTCAGCCACATCACATTCACAGGGCACTTTCGTACAAAAACTTCACTGCAACAAAAGCACTTTAAGTGTTGATAGTTCAAGTCAGCTTCACAAATGCAGATTGAGAAGAAGTGAGCTGGCTTGAGATGACAGATTCAGGCTTCCTCTGTTTTGATGCTTCAACATTAGGCTACCATGGTAGAACACAAATAAATATTAGTCCCTGGTTATGCTCTAGGGTTTTTTTTCTGGTTCTTTAAAAGATTAAGCAACAAATTATTCACTACAGAAAAATCCATAACTTTTACCTTATCACTATAAATGCAGCATAACCTATTTATACTGCATACAGAAATTTGAACAAAGAATTCTTACATATGCCAACTATTTCTCACACAATGACAGCAACAGAAATGAACAAGATGGCAAGAGACAGGATGGTTGTTTTTTTTCCCCAGTTTTATCAGGAAGCAAAGACGAACGAAAACTGAAGAAGGGTGTGCATATCATTTTGGAATTATTTTACTTAAGTGCCATACAGAAATGCTGCCCAGTGTTGGCAGCCTTCCAATGAGAGAGTCTGCAATATTACCACAAGTCTGATTGCCAGCACGGAGGATAGCTATGCTTGCAAAGAGCCAAAAGAGCTTAAAAGAAGAACATATGGGATACAACCAAAAATTTAAATAAACATCCCGATTCAGCCCTGCCACAATGCAGAATCTCAACCTTTAAAAAGGGGTTGTCATAACTGAGGTGCACTGAAGTTCTAGAAGATTTTTGCATGAATCAGAAACAAAATCTGTTTAAACAAAAAGTTTATCTACAGAAGAGACACAATTGAAATAACCTCAATTAAAAGAGTGGCAACTTGGCTCCTATGAACGGTTAAAAAAAACCCAGTTTTTTCAACAGTTCTACCCTTGTACGTGTTGGGTCAATACTACTGCTAGATACCTAAAACCACTGTTTTACAATAGCTTGTTTTCAAATACAAAAAACAACCAAGTACAAGAGAAATAAAAGCTGATTTAAACAATAAAACTGCCAAGGGCCAGTACAATCCTCTATTGTTTTAACTGGACTATGAGCCAACGACAAGAAAAACATGGGTATTTGCTACAGTAACAGCACTGTAGATTGCTTCATGCAAGCACAGGTGTTAGTATTATTTTAATACACTTTTCAAAAAACAGCATGGTTCTGGGCTATTTAAATAAACAAGTACCCTTTTTTACTAAATACGCAACTTGCAACCACAGTCTAGTCTAGTGTGACAAACCTACTGCAATCTAACAACTCACTGATGGTTTAGGAACAAGATGAACTCGTAAGAAATTATTCTGGGGGCAAATCTTAGTAATTGTAAGCTTACATTTGTATTTATGCTTGGAATTAAAAAAAAGACACACAAATTAACTGTTTTGGCCCCTAAAAATATAGTCATGCTACAGAAAATAGTCTTAGAGTACTCAGTTCAATACTCCCTCAATCTACACGTTAGTATGAGATATAAAGGCAATTACCACTTCTCAGATGTCATTGTGTGGTAATGGTTGAAAAATGTCTTTTTAACAACCACCACTGTATTGTCACATACTAGCTTGCTTGTGCACACTACTACCCTCTGCTGGTTCACATATAACTTATTCAAATTTTCTGACGTCCCACTCTGCCAGCTGGCCTGAAAAGAGGAAAAGAAACTTAAAACTAGAAAGAGTTATTCAAGATTCCCTACAAGTGGAGGCCTGTAATTCTGAAATAGAATAATAAATCCATATGAAGGCACTGAAATGATCAGTGTGCTTAGAGGCATTTAATGGGGGTTGAAATGGAATAATCTATTTCCTCACATCATTAGATGAGAGAACCTCTATATTCTCCCCCCTGAAAAAAGGTTACCTAAAAAAGTTTCTATCTTTTTCCTTGCATTACATAAATATTTGCTTTGATGGAACTGAAAGAAAAGAAAGTTGACAAAAAGATAGTCAATCTATCATATATATATATATATATATATATATATATATATGGCATA